TTTTTTCGTTCATATAGACCAGATCAAAGGCTTTCCAAAGAGCCTAAATTTATAAAAAATGGATTAGTGGATCCCAAGATATTTGCATTTAAGCATGTTAAAAAGTTCATACCTTAACTTTAAATGTAAATATCTCTGGATCTAATGATTCAATCGGCGAGCTCTTTTTTCGCCTATAAAGTCCAAAACAAGGGCTTTCCAACAAGCCTAAAATTATAGAAAACAGATCAGTGAATCTTGATATATTTGCGTTTAAAGATGGTAATACAAACTCTGACATAAAATAATTATTAAAATATCTATTATGATACCATCTTTTATATGATATTTTTATTATACTTTTATAAACATTTATAGCTACTAAGACTATATACAGTACATTTTTATTTTACTTTATATTTTATTAAAATATACTTACTTTTTAATAATATATGTTAAAAATTCCATACATATGAGAAATGGGTTTTTTATTAGTGAAATGGGTTTTTTCACAGCTCTTTTACATTTAATAATTTAAGTTTCGCAAATGTAAATTTTTGTTCAACTTATTATATAGTCAAGTGATCATCAATCAGATGATTTTTTGGTATTACAAAACAATTTTGAATAACAAAAATTGTGAAAATCAATCAATAACTCTTTTTAATGCAGAGTAAACAAATCAGCCCATATGAAAACAGTATCTATATCGGAACTAATTCCCTATCAAAATAAATAAAAAAAAGTGTTTTTTAGAATAAAAACATTTTTTTTGAAGAAAGTTTCAAAAATTTTTTGAAACTTTATCTAGGGAAACGGTATCCATGCTAGTGGTAGGCTCTGAATCTGGTCAATCTGATCATCCTAAAATCAATTCATCAAATAGGCATATTCAGATTGATCAGATGAATCCATCAAATAGACCAGATGGATGACCGGATATCCGATCAATCCTATACGGGATCGACAAAAAATTTTCCTTTTTAGAAAATTTTGTGTTATACGACCGAAAACTAAATTTAGAAAAACTGGTTTTTGTGGAATGGGTATCACCATAAATGGAAACGATTGACATATTTGTGCGTCACGTGACAATAATTAAATATCTAATCATAAATTCCGGCTGAAATTAAATGATCAGTGAAAAATTTCCTTTTTAGGATTATTGTGAAACTCAAAATTTCATTTTTGCTGGGAAACAAAATTGCTTTTTTGGATTTGTGTAATGTTACTCACTTACTTACTCATGCCCTAAAAAGGATAATTCCATGCTGATTACTTAATTCTGGCCAGAATTATAATCAATCCGGTCAATCTGCAGATAATCTGATGATCCAATTTTTTTAATTCAGATTGATCCGTCACGTGATCATCTGGATGACGGATTGAGTAGATTCATTCAGAGCGCACCTCTAATCTATGTCAGAATTAATTTCCTAAATAAAAAATATTTAAAAAAGATGTTTTTTAGTATAAAAACGTTTTTTTTTTTAAGAAAGTTTCGAAAACCCTTTGAAACTTTACCTGGGAAACGGTATTCACGTCAGAACTAATTCCTATCAAAATAAATAAAAAAAAGCGTTTTTTAGTATAAAAACATTTTTTTTTGAAGAAAGTTTCAAAATCTTTCAAAACTTTACCTGGAAATAAATAAAAAAAAAATGTTTTTTATTGTTAAAAAAATGTATTTTTTAAAGAAAGTTTCAAAAATCTTTTGAAACTTCACTTAGAAAAATGGTATCGACGTCGGAATCGATTTCCTGCAAAAAAAATATTAAAAAAAATGTTTTTTTTATAAGAAAGTTTTGAAAATCTTTTGGAACTGATTTTATTCACTAAAAGTATAAAAAAAGATGTTTTTAACATTAAAAAACGTTTTTTTAAAAAGAGTTTCAAAACTTTTTTGATTTAATAAAAAGTTACCGAATTCAATGTGTATATTTACATGAAGAACTAAGGTGTAAGAAAGGGAAGGAAAAAGGATAAAAGTTTAAAAAAGTTTGTTTAAAAAAGACCTGTAAAATGTTGATTTGAATCATCTGATGATTTCAGTTATTTATCAACTGATTTGCCAAATTATTGCCAATTAGTTATTGATTTTTACCATTTGGCAAATTTGGCAAAATTGTGTTGATTTATATGACCAATCAATATAATTTTACTGAATGATCTTAAAGGAACAATTTTTCATATAACAATTAGTATAAGTTAGATTTTACCGATTTTTGCCATTAGTCAAAAAATGTGATGAATCATATGACCAATCGGCAAAAATTATGCTGAAAGCTCTTAACAGTCGAAAGTTTTGATTTTGACCAATGTTTTACAGTACTTCTTATTGATGTTATTCCAGCCTGAATTATTTGTATATAGTTAATAGTTTAAATTCTGGTGAAAATTCTTTTTTATTTTCCTTAATTATTTTTGTTATTACTGATTTAAGTTTTGCATTATTAACAATTGACAACTTTCTTCCATAAGAATTGACTTTTGATATATGCTTTTTATGTAATTTTGTTACCTTAGAATTTAAGCTGCAAATTTGTTTAAGAGATTTATCTTGAGCTTTTTTTTTTTGAAGGTATTCTTTTGTTTCTGTATACTTATATAATTCAGATTTAAGTAATTCTATGCTTTATTTTGTATATAAATTGAAAAAATTTTTCCTTAATTTTTTCCTTTTTAGTATTTCATATTTTGAAAAAGATAATATGCATCTTTAACTTCATTGGCAGGAAGATTTCTAATATTTTCAACAAGTTTTTCTCACAACTTTTCAATTGAAAATTTACTTTGATAATTATTATCATTTGTTGACTCTAAATAGGTAACAATAATTAGCTGTTGTGAGCTGTTATGTTTTTCAGCCTGAATTTTATATGTATTTGATAATTGACGAGCTCTAGCATTTTTTTTGCTCATTTTAATTGCTATAAAAATGATAAAAGAAAAATGCCTTAAAAACTCTCTTTTTTATAGGAAATTTAATACTTTTGAATTTAAAATAAAATAATAAAGCTTAGATTATTAAATTATAATGCACTACTTTATTGATAAATTTTTAATCCCTTACTTTACTATCATTATTGATTTATTTGTTATTTTAAATTTTAAAAGTTCATTGTTATAGTTTAAGTTCATAAACAAAATAAAGCTTTTATTAATGATATATTAAACTAAGTATTCTAATACTTTAAATTATTAATCACTTACTTTATCACCATTATTGAATTTTTTGTTATTTTTAATTGGAATTTATTGTTATAAACTTATAGTTTAAATTCATAAACAAATAAACTTATATGTATATTTTTTATTATTAATACATTAAACTATACGTTTAATACTTTAAATTATTAATCCCTTACTTTATCACATTATTGATTTTTTGTTATTTTTAAATTGGAATTTATTGTTATAGACTTATGTTATAAATTCATAAACAAAATAAATTTATATGCATATTTTTTATTAATAATACATTAAACTATACATCCTAATACTTTAAATTGTTAATCCCTTACTTTATCACCATTATTGATGTCTTTGTTATTTTTAATTTTAAAAGAGCTCATTGTTATAGTGAATTAAAATTAACTTTAAAAAAAAATAAACTTATATTATTAAATTATGCATGCTTTTTATTAATAATACATTAAACTATGCATTCCTAATACTTTAAATTGTTAATCCCTTACTTTACCACCATTATTGATATTTTTGTTATTTTCAATTTTAAAAGAGCTCATTATCATAGTGAATTAAAATTAACTTAAAAAAAAAAATAAACTTATATTATTAAATTATGCATGCTTTTTATTAATAATACATTAAACTATGCATCCTAATTCTTTAAATTATTAATCCCTTATTTTACTGTCATTATTATTATGTATTATTTTATAAACTTTAAAATAGCTCATTGTCATAGTGAATTAGGTTTAAGGCGTGAAAAATACCTTAAATCAAGGCACCTTTATTTTTTAAGCCTAAAAGTAAAAAATCAAAAGGCTTATATAATAAAAGATCAAAAAAATCATATATTTTTTTAATTACATAGCATTTTTTTTCCACAAAATAATATAAATTTCAAAAAAAAAAGGTGTCACTTGAAAGAGCATATTTTTATGAACAATTTGATATAAAAATTATTGTGGTTGTACTTTTTATTATGATGATGAATTCAATAATAATATGCTATTTTATTACTAATTAATCTATAGATTGATGATCGGCAACATTACAGAGTGAAAAATCCGCACTAATTAATTTTATATGTAACATCACATATGATTGATCTACATATAATTTGGAACACCGTATAACCAGAGACCCGGAAATATTCCAACGGAATTTTTGCTACATAATGGAATAAAACAGAATTTTAGTGAATTTTGATAATTTTATTCCGACACGTGACAATTAGCCAATCATAAATGCAGATCATCGGAATAAATTTAATGTCTCCGAAAAAATTTTTTTAATGTTAAAATGTCACGGTTACTGCTTTTTCACGTGCGCAAGAATTTTCTGAAGAGAGAAAAATATTCATCAAATTTTTGAAGTTATTTTTTTGCAGATAATGGAAAATTTATGTGCCGTTTTTGTGATCATAGTATCAACTTTTTGGGATAAAGTTTCATTACAGCTTCCTCTTTTAGAAAAAATTGCGCGAAATTATATTTGGTTACCAATCTCTTCCTGCGCAGTAGAAAGAAGTTTTTCCGCATATAATAAAATTTTAGATGATGATAGACAAAATTTAAATCAAGAATCACTTAAATTCCTTACTATTATGTACTTTAATAATCAAAATAGCAATAAATAACTATAATGATTAGTAAAATTTATATCGGAATAAATCGGAATTTTTACTGTTATCGTGATAAATATTTGTGATTTGATATCGGAATTTTTCCGGGTCTCTGCGTATAACATGCATTTTTATCACGTGAATAATTTTCCGGTTTTTTTTGTAACACACTAACAATTTTTTTTAGTACATAATATTTGAAGAAAAATTTACTTACAAATTTTTTTTTATATCGACAATGACTTTCGATAATTCCGAAGAGCAGTTACAATTAGACGAACAAGACCTTTCAATTTTTGAGGTTTGGTTCTTTTTATTCGTTGGTCAAATAACAAAATATTTTAGAATAACATTTATTTGATATTAATAAGGAACCTGAAGGATATCTACCACCTCAACCAAAACCAACTTTTCAAACGTTTTCCCGCAAAGACGAACATTTATTGCAGTCTGGTACAAATTAAATTATCAAGCTAGTTAAAATAGAGATAAAAGTAAAAAGAACTTACATATTCATGCATTTTTTGAATAGATAATTTTAAGACTTTAAATATAAGATTAGTTGGATCACATCCATTATGGGCACATTTATTATGGAACGCAGGCAAATGTTTTGCATGGTATTTAGACGAACATAAAGAATTAGTAAAAGGAAAGAAAGTTTTGGAACTCGGTGCAGGTGGAGCATTACCTTCATTAATAGCAGCCGTAAATGGAGCAGAAAAGGTATACTAAAGAGAAGTAAATTAAGTGAAATTATTGGATATTATTTATTAATTTAGTTTTTTTGTTCTTCAAAGGTTGTTATTACGGATTACCCGGACGATGATTTAATAGATAATATTCGACATAACGTAAATACGAATTTGAGCACAGATATTTGTACGGATAATATAAGAGTTTTGGTAATTATGATTATGTTTGTTAATTTGATTTAAAGTACTTATAATTAATTTTATACATTATTAATTTCCAGGGGTATATATGGGGCAAAGATACATATCCTTTACTAAACGCGATTTCAAAATCGGAAAAAACATCCAATTTATATGATCTTATAATATTATCTGATCTAATATTTAATCATTCTCAACACAAAGCACTTTTAAAAACATGTAAAGAATGTCTTGATCCTATTAATGGACAAATATTGGTTTTTTTTACTCATAACCTACCAGATCTAGCACATAAGGACATGGAATTTTTCGAAGAAGCAAAAAATTTACAGTGGAAAGTTGAGAAAATTTTTAAAGAAATCATGAGTCCAATGTTTAAAGAGGATCATGGATGCGAAACCGTGAGATCCACCGTTTACGGATATAAAATAACCATTAACTAGCGAGAATATATCTTATATTGTACAAAAAATGTAAAACAATTTTAAATTAATGATATTGTAGTAAAAGAATGTTTCAGGTTTAGGCTTATCCAGAAGTTTTTTGAGAATTTCCCTCGAGATTTTTTTTGTACAGACCTCGGCGAAAATAATGGCGGTAAGTTTTATAAAAAAATTAGAATTAAATATTAAAAATTTTTTTTATATATATTCTGAAAGAGGGATGAAATTACATGTATTTTATTATTTAACTTGTAGCGTCAAAGTATGATTCAAAATAACCTGATACTGAATTTTTCTATTTTCTCGTTATGATATCCTGCTGGTGATCTGTGTAACGAGATCGCACGTGATAAACCGAAAATAAAATTAAACCTGTACGTTAAAGCTAACTATTTTTCAAAAGCATAGGATTTAATAATTTATATTTTATCTCTTTAACACCTGCTTTATTAGGATAAATTTTTACAAATATTAATTTAGATAGCAAAATGCTGATTTATTTTCAAAATAATAAGTATCATTTTTACTACTACCATTATTTTTTAAAGACTGTACTTCTAAAAAAATACTATAATTTCCAGTATGTGAAGTCACCAGATTTCCAAGACTGCATGTAACAATTTATCATGCCAATTACTTTTGCCAAGAAAAATTTCTTCTTTTAATATACATAATATATTATATAGCATGATTTCCTTCAATATACTTTTAACAATAAAATATTAATCTTTTATTTCAAATCTTTATAGTTGAAAGCTTCCAATATTATTGAAAGATTTTTGAAGCTTAGATCCAATTCCAAATTGTAAGTAAAATTGGTAAGCATTAATTTTTTTAGCTCTTTTATTTGTTTTTTAAGTCTATTTTGAAAATAAAAATATAATATGATATTCATAATATATATATATATAAAATACTTACTATTAAAGCAAAGACTTTTCTAATTTTTTAACTTTATTAAAAAAAAAAGAGTTTTATCAAGTTTTGAAGTTTTACTTAATTTTACCAGTTTTAAAATAGTTAAAACTAAAATTAAACATTTTATTAATCACAAAACAAATCTTATTTTTGTTGTTCATATTAATCTTGATAAGTAGTATTTTATAAGATTTTGCAAATTAAGTTTGTTATACTACTATATAGATCAAAAGAAATTATAGTAACGCTACTATTTATAATACATTTGATACTGCTTAAATATATTACTTTTATATTGCACTATATATACAGAACCTCAGACATCACATATATAACTCATAACTGATCTGCTTGAGTTTAGCACTTTTTGCTCCTGCTAAAATAGATTTAATTTGCTAAAAATCAAATTATCACATTTTAAATTTATACTAATTTGCTAAAACTTAAAATATGAGTTATAGTAAAATCCTAAATAATATAAGTTTAAATTTGCTTAATAAAATATAATTTCAGTTTATTAAAATTATTTGTAGATCGGTAAATTTAATTGTCAATTTACCAAAATTAACAATTTTTTTTTTATTATCAATAAAAAAATAAATAATTAAGTCATGGTCCGTGAAAGATCAGCACAAAATTACTATTACATTTTGGGGTAAAAATTTGCCGATCATAATTAAAATTTTTATAATTGCTAATGATAGCAATAAGACAAAAATCATGAAAAACGTTTTACAGATCCTCCAAATCACATGGCAAGCTGCATAAACAATGTGAAAATACAGTTCAACAAAAAAAAACTATTTTTCCTTATATGTTCTGTAGATTTTGGAAAAATATGTATATATATAATATATTAATTTCACCTTTAACAAAACACTCAAAGTACAAAATTTTAACTTTTATTAAATGTTATTTATATTTCTTTCTTTACAAGTACTTTCTACAAGTATTTTTATGAATTTTTAGAGTTCGTTTTTTCTTCTAAAGAACGCAAAGCCATGGCCTCTTTCCATTTACGTGAAAAAGTTGAAATCCAGTTTGTTATTGTAGATACTTTAGGTATGTCACTTTCTTCAATTTCGCCAAGTTCTGTACGTCTCAGCAGTTCTTCATGCATCTGTTGTACATTTAATTTTTGATGAGGATTTGCTGTTCCAGTATGGAACATTGATTCTAAAAGATGCTTTACTTATTGAGATATTCTTTTTATTGGTCCACGTTGACGAGTCTTTTCATTTTCTTTTAGAGCCCATCCACTGATAAATACTTGTTAACTTCAAAAAAAAAATAAAAAAATAAATAATATAATATAATCAACAATTAAAATGCAATTATATAATATTTTACCTCTTAGTTTCTGGAGATCCATTATTTACATTATTTTCCAGATTAGTCAGATCAACGAGTATTTGGTTTTGTAAATAATTGGATTGATTTATAATCAAGAAATTCATATAATAAAAATTCTAGAATTAATATCACCTACCGATTCACCCTGTATTGGATCCTGTTCGTCTAACAAGCAAATATGTTATCTATATTTAGAAATAAATATGGCAAACAGGTAAACTCACTTTCTTTATTCAAAATTGGCATGGTCCATTGTTTGGTAAATTGTGTATGTGGTGTAAAAGTAGGATTTAGTTTTTCAATTTTTCGCTTTTTAACAATCTTTTCTATATTTTCAGGTGACCATTCCTTCCACTCTCCTATTCCTGGTAGTGCACATGCATAAATATAACTAACTTTCACAGGTCGAACAGATGTCATTGTCGCAAAATTTGCCTGGAATTTTTCTGGCAAATTGAGAATTATCCCGGTAAATTGGGGTAAATTGTGTTACAATTTTGGGATAATGGAGGACTTACAATTTGGCAAATTTTGTCAAAATGGCGGAATTCCTACAGAATTCCTAATTCAAATGTTGAGAAATTTTTCAGTAAATTATCATTAAATTGTGGGAAATTTTAGGCAAATTTTTAGTAATGATATGCAAACGAAGTGTAAATTGTGGTGAATTTAGT